AACTAGAGGCCAGAGGTGACCTCCCCCAGAACTCAGAAGGCTGGCCACTTGTGACCACAGCCATCAAAGTCCAGATACCTGAATTAAGGGGGCTTGTTGACTCACATTCTGTAAGTACAGGGATTACAGGCATCTGCCACCACACCTAGCACAAAAAATTTACTTTTAAAGTGATATGTATGGAGTGTAGGAAAGTTTTAAAGAAATTTAAAGTTTCAGAGTCAATCGGGGATGATACATACCTGTAATCCCAGCTTTTGAGAGACTCAAGCAGGGGAATCAGGACTTTGAGGCCAGCCTGAGTTAGAATGAGACCTTAACTTAAAAACAACAAGAGTCTATAGCCACTTCATTTTTCCCCTCTTCTTCCAAATTTCATCCCTAATATAAATTGGCAGTGATATATGCTCAAATGGCTGACTGGATGAGCAGAACCAACTATTTTTGGTGCTTAAGCTGGGCCCCCGGGTCAGGCCAGAGCAAGAAGTTTGACCTGCGTGGATCTTTCTTTTATGCACAGGATAGCTACACTGGCTTGTATAACAGTTCATCTCGGGGCCTAAAAGAAGCTGCTGCCTAGCATACTCCATGGACACCTTGTTCCTATTCTTGCAAAATAAGAGCCAATTTGAGAACAGTTCAATTTGTAGAGTTCTGCCCACTCTAATAGCAAGTTAACTGTAGTGATTGCAGAAAGATTTACAGAGCCCAGATAGTCTACTACTGTCTTAGTTACTCTTCCCTTGTTGCTGGCACAAATACCTGACACTCAAAGGAAGGAAAGGTTTATTTAGCTCAATCACTGGAGGTTTCAGTCCGTATTCAGCTTACATTGTGATGCAGATTACCTGCCCCAGGGCAGGTGCAGCATCCACACCCACAGTAATCAATCCCAAACTCCAGAAGCTGCCCCACGACTGCATGAGGCTTAGGGGGGACACCTAGACACAAACCATAACAACCACAAAACTTGAAAACTAACTAGAATTCCCATAATGAAGAAAATCTGGGAGTAGAATAAAAATTGAGCAGCACATTAAAGGAAAAAAAAAAGGGTTGGCATGGGGGTACATGCCTGTAATCCCAGTA